AAAAAAAAAACGCGATTATATTAAAAAAAGTTGTGATTACGATTTTTAAGCTTAGTGCTCAACATAATCCCTCTTGAATCATCCCTATCACCCCCCAATAAATCATACAACGGCGCAGTCCATTTTAAACCAATGGGAGCACAGGTAGAAATGATTGACAGGTCAAATGACGTCACTTACGTGACGTGATTCACGTCACGATGAGGAAAACCATTTTGCACTGGACAGTACATATAACATTGCTACGAGAAAACTATCAACGAAACAAAAATAATTAAACAGAAGAGCAACTTGAAAATTATAGGGAAAACACATCGAATCAGAGACAGATTACATAGAGGAAGAGAAACAGTCTTTTATATAGGCTATATATATAAGCTATATTACATATAAATGTACGAACAAATAAAAACCCAGTGAAGCGGGTACTTGCGGCTAGTTTAACATTTTTGACAAGTATAAGTCGCACATTTTTTACTACTTTTTGGGGCTCAAAATCATGGTGTGTCTTATACTCGAGAGAATAGTTAAATATTCATTATTGATAAAAAGAAAAACAAGCAATGCCACTTACTAAAAATATANTTGTTATTTTTACTCTTTTTATATAATTATTTCAATAAATACTTTAAAATTATAAGTATAATGGGATGCAGAATATGTGCATCTTTCCTTAAGAATTTCTATGATAAAAGTAATTGATGAAAATAAATATTGTAATTACTTTTTTGGTATGTAAAATAAATATTTTCTATTTTTTAATATTTTTAATGAACTAATACATAAATCTTTTTCAGCCGTTTCACGAGGTTATTCTTGCTGCTTATAAAAAACACGGTAAAATATTTGGGTGAGTCAATTTTTCAATTCACATTCATTTTTTAATCATAAATAAACTGTAATTATTGAATTAAAATTATTTGGCTTTCTATATTATAAATCACGCATAATTGTTTTTGAAAACATTTAATGTTATTCTTCTAAAATCTCTATAAACTAATTAATTACTTTAAAAATTTTCATTTTTGTATATTCTTTATTTTATTAGGTAATCTAAATGTTTAGATCTTAATATTTTGCGAATCAAAACAATTATAACAAGTCATCTATATATATATATATATAAATTAAGATATTTGTTTGTTAGTTTTGCACATATTGGCTGTTCGACCAATTGCTACGAAACTCGGCAGTTACGTTCACAAAATTTCACCCCAAATTATCCATTGGATTTCTGTATATCGATTCATTTTTGTCTACATTTAATTTACATGTAGCTTCATCAATTGGAAAAATAATAATAAACTAAACATAATTCTTACAAAAAGGATATATTGTTAAAAATATATGTTATACTCATTAAATTATAGCGATAATTATATAGCGCGAAATAGACACGCTATTATGCACCATTACGCAATTACTGCGGCAGGTAGCACACAGCACATGTTTGCATGGAATGGAGTAGTGTTTTCCCCTGACCATCATTATTTTCCTGTTAGCAATAAGTAGTGCTGGTTATGTATCTAACGGAGAATATTTTTGAATTGAAACAGTGTGACTTCGAGTGCAAACCAGAAGTTCGTATATAGTTAATCAGGTCCTATTGCTATTAAGCTTTCCATACCTTGTCTCAAAATTCATTTTTCTAACTCCGTTCTCGAGATTAAGGTAGGATAGTCAGACGGACGGTGGGAATTTATGTTTACAAGCTTTTGAAATTGCAGCCCAATAAATACCCTCTAGTAACCGAGTCTATAAAACCACCGAATACCAGTAGTTGGTTGTGGGTTCGCGCATGGCCAATGGACTAGCCACGTGAAGTTTTCTAGGTTTTCTTCGCGTTGGTAACGCTTAAATTGGTGTCAGCTTTACATTAGTCTTCCCGGTATGCATCCTCCTCGGCAGATCGCTCACGTGTCGCGTTGATGTAACCAAATAAATCAAACTAATTCTAATAGTTTTTCTATAAACACGATATTTACGAGGACACACATAACTGCCACGAAAACAGGACAACTCACCCATCTGATTTCATCTGCTCTTATTAAGTCATAAAACCATTGCCCCAAACTACCTTCATTGATACTTCTTAAAGATGTTTTAACGTTCAGTCAAATAATGTACCATACGTGAAACAATTTTAAGACACAAAGTAGCGCTAGGAGTCTTTTTCTGTGCCAATATTTATTTTTTCCTAATTATTATACTACTTGGTGACATTGTTTCATTCAAAATTTCTTGTAGTTATAGTCTATGATGTGCACTTCATCCACTTACAGTTCGTTCATCTTTTGTGTATGTAAAGTAGTGAGTTTGTGGTTTTTATATACTTATGATGAAATATGTTAGCAGGTTTTCCGTAAAATATCCAAAATTATCGACTTTTCCTCGGGTTACAAAAACATCAAATTATCCTGAAATTAACAGCGTTTCATACTTTCAACATTCTTACGATGATGCTCTTTACAGATAGAGATTGACATTTACCCACCCCTGAAAGCTTTACTGTTACTCTAATGCCGCATTACAGTCTGGTTCCAAGCTTATCGAATTAGTGACATTTAACCTATAATTATAATCGTTGTTTCTGGTGTTTATATTCATAAATATAGTAAAAAATTTTCAAAACGAAACGCGACGGTACGTGCTGAAGTTATAGAATTACATTTCTAATAACGTATGAAAAGAGAAAAGTTGTAAAAATGTTACAACTCACATTTAGAATTTTTTATCCTCCAATGTAAGTGTTTTATTATTTCAAACACATATTGAAAATGCCGAACTTTGTATTGACGCACAGATAAAAACCATCAACGTAAAACCCATGGACTGTTTTAATTGTTCTACCTCAAAGAACATACCGTTTTCTAGGCAGCACTTAATTTATTAATTGTCATTAGATTAATATTCAGACTGTACGAACTTCCTTAATTATAATTAACAACAATAAATTATATAAATATAATTAAAAATTAAGTAAAAATATTAAAAATAAATAATGCATTAAAATTGAAAATTATGTAGATGATATAGTCTGTACTTTTATTCCAAAATTCAATAAGATAATAAATTTACAACAATTTTTAAATTAACTAAATGAATTAGCTTGAACTCAGCATTATTTTCATTTCCTATATGTTAAATTTCGAAAGTACGATGTAATTAACTATTTAATATTTTTTTAATTATATAACATTATATAAATTTTATATAACTTATTTCTTACGTCAAAATTCCGATTCTAGAACTTGTATGCCAACACACGACTTGTGGATATCTAAACCAGAACTGATTAAATACATCCTTGTGAAAGACTTTCCAACTTTTCATAATAGAGTGGTAAGATATATTGATAATTATAAATAATTTATATGTTTATAATTATGGAAAATTTATTTTTTAAATTTGAGAATAACTTAACTTGCATTAAATTAAATGCAAAAAACCAAAAGTTTTATAAATAGTTTTGTGTGATTAGTGTATTTAAAGTCGGCTTTAATGCATTTAATAGATTGAGCGATGTAAATATAACCTCCTTAAATTTTTATAGAAATTTGATTTTGGAGATGAAATTTTTAACCGTATGGTTAGTGTACTGGTTGATGAAGATTGGAAAAGAGTAAGAAATTTGATGAGTCCGACATTTACCAGTAGCAGAATGAGAAAAGTAAAAGCAATTTTTATTAATAAGATGCAAACTGTGATAACTAATTCATTTATTAAAACATAGGAAATCATTTCTTAAAACATGAATTAAAATTTTTGTTTTCAGATGGCAAATTTAGTTAAACAATGTGCAGAATCGTTAGCCGCACGTTTCAACGAAATCGCTGAAAAAGAACAAAAATTTAATTGCAAAGAGTATGAATTTATTTTATTATCCTTCCTTTAAATACCTGCTAAATATATTATTAATTTTAACAGTTAACGAATTTATGAAATAATTGAAGACATGACTAGATTAATCTGCTATGGTACAAAATCAAACTTTTAACAAATTAATGTCAAGATATTATGTAATTAATTAGGTGTGAAAACCCAGTATATTAAGGAAATAGTGTCTCGAAGAGAGTATTACACTCTCATTTAATTTTTGGAGATCTTTGAGAGTGAAATGCGAGAGAGGAATACATTACAGTTTTATGTACTGTATAGTACTGTATTGTACATGTTACTTCAATCTTCATATAATAAAATTGAAAATCAATTTTTATGATCCTTAAAATATTTTTAAGTCATTCCATAAATTTTTAACTAACAAGAAATTAATATAATAATAAATACAAACGATTTCCCTTTTATCACATTAAACGAACCAAGCAATGCGTGTAAAAAATACACGTTGAGTCACAAATCGAGATTCGTTTCTTGAAATGCAGTTTCTAATACATTATCAAATGGATATATTTAAGAAAAAGCACAGAAAAATAAGGCAATTTCATAAATAATAATAAAAAATAATATCACAAAAAGTTTATTGTGTTATACCGTATAATCAATATTTTATAAAATTTACTGATCACATGATAATTATTAAATCTTTTAAAAGGTTAATAAGTTCATTTACTATCGACGTCACTGCATCCACTGCATTTGCTACGAAAGTGAATGCACAGGAAAATGAAAACAGCGAATTTGTGAAGAATGCTCGAATGATTGCAAATAGAAATATATCAAAACTAACGTTTTTTATGTGTAAGTATTTATTTTACTGTTATAAATAAAATTTCGATTATGCACTTACGTATTTATATTTTACTCCGTAAAAAATGAATAAGATGTTTCTCATAAATATAATTTTTATTTAATAGTTTTCGTTGCACCGAAACTTATTAGTTACTTAAAATTGGAAATTTTCCCGAGAAAAGTATTAGAATACTTCAGGAACGTCGTTTTGAAAATCTTGGAAGAGAGAAAACAAAAGAAAGTTGTAAGAACAATTAACATGTATTGCAAAATATTTAAACATAAATTTTATAAAAGATGTTTATCATTTCTTATATAATGTAAACATTATTTATTGGTTAAAAAAATTTTGCATCGTTTTACCCAGTGGCGTAGCGTGGGTGTCAGCCGCCCGGGGCGGAGGAAAATTTCGCGCCTCCTTATTTAGGTAGACTATCTCAATTTAAAAGACTAAAATTCAGTTTCGTCACAGAATAAGCAATGAAAAATTNGTTGTAAGAACAATTAACATGTATTGCAAAATATTTAAACATAAATTTTATAAAAGATGTTTATCATTTCTTATATAATACAAACATATTTTATTGGTTAAAACATTTTGATCGTTTTCCTTACAACGTTTTTCTTTTCCTTCCCAATGTTTTAAAATGCGCTTTGTTAAATGTGCATATCATTATAAAATACATTCTAAAACAGTTTAATTAACAAGGATTTTTTGATTAAAAATTTCGGTTTTGTTGATTTGCCAAAATTGGACTTTAAATCTCCTTAAAATACATAAAATATGAAAAACACGAATTAATTTTTATTCTTTTACTGTTTTAATCGTCGAAATTAGTATAAACTTTGCTGTAATTTTATGTTAAGTTTATTAGAATAAACGTGTTTAAAATCAATATTAATCACAATATAAGCTAATATTAATTAAACTGATTGTCATAATTGGTCTCATAATTTCTTTAATAATGAATTGTATGTCATATTCTCGCAATATGCTTTCTTCTGAAAAAGTTTTCCTGCTATCTCTCGTAAGTGTTTCAGTTAGTCTATTACTAATGTTACAATTTCTGTGCTATTAAACATTTTCTAGAAACTTTGCAGCGCATGTATTCGAAAGCGGCAGTAATGTAGGATTATATGTACTGTATATTAACAAAACACTAATACAATTTTTAAGAATACACTTACAGATAAAGATGCATTAATTTAAATATTTAACATCCTAATTTCACATTTACTATAAATTTATTTATTACATAAGTTATTAAAATGTTTAAATTGTAAATAAACTTGACAATACAGCAAAATCGTTTTGAAGTAAAATAATTAATTGTTTGATATTAACTAGAAAATAAATTGAAACATTTAATGTCTTGTATAGAAAGGAAACGATTTTCTTCAATTAATGATGGACGCTCAAGAAGGCGTACTTGAAAACACCGCCGAAGATTTGAAAGAAGTAGACAATGAAATAAATAATTACAAAGTTCAACCTAAACACAAAAGTATTGCTTTTCTTTTCTTTATTATACATTAATTCCTGTTGGTGACTTATTTCATTAATATTTTTAACGTTTATTTTAGCAATAAGCCTCGAAGATATCGTTGCTCAGAGTATTATTTTTATTATCGGTGGCCACGACCCAACAACAGCAACTTTGACATTCTTCTGCTATGAAATGGCATTAAATCCAGAATGCCAAGAGAAATTGTTGAAGGAAATAGACGAAATATGGGAAACACATGTAAATAAACTTCTTATTTTTCATAACTACAAGGATTTTAAATATATTCTTTATGTTTTATTTTATAATTTTAAATTAAAACTTCTTAAACAACTGACTGAAGAAATGTAAAAGCATTTCTTAATACGAATTTAGAGGTAAAAATTTAAATTTACTGGGAATAGAAAGACAAAATAACTGTTTATTTAAGATATATGCATTATTCATTAATTGTTTTGCAATTTAAATCAATTAAATGGCTGAAACATGTTTCTTCGCAACACGAAAATTAAAGGATATCTATATTATGAAAAATTTCAATAAAACTGATACAATGACGTTTAGCCTACTCTGCTTATACTGTGCCTCCCCTTCCTTGACATACGATCATTTAAATAAAACAAGTTCTTTTCAAATCTTTCCGCCTTACGGGCACTAAGAGAGCCTTTTACCAAGTCCAACGTGGTTTGGCCGGGCGCACAATGAGGTGGATAAAAATGAGAAAAGAGAGCCAAAGTATCCTGGAAAACATCTCTATCAAATTCGGGCAGATTTATCGCACAGCCCGGATTTTATCCCGATTCTCAAAACAGTAAAATAAGTTGATCCTTAAAGCTTCGCCCACTTGGCGGGCGTAGAGAAAATTGCTGATATTATTGTTTCCTTTCTATAGGATATATTATCTAATAATAGAACATTTAAAATCGAAATAATCAATCATATTTCCTAACCATTAAAATTTTCTTACTGCTTTTTATTTTATTTTTTGTGAAAAGTTTATTAAATTACAAATTTCAGGATAACGTGGATTTCGATATTGTCAGTAAAATGACTTATCTTGATGCAGTTTTAAATGAAATTTTACGAATACACAATCCAGGTGTAACGTAAGTACAATATTTTTATTTAATAATTAGCCTATAGTACATCTACTGTAGTAAAGAATAAATTCGTTTAAAATTAGGTTACAAAGAACAGCTTCTGAAGATTATAAATTACCTGAAACGAATATAACAATAAAAAAAGGAAGTAGCGTCATAATTCCGACATACGGCATGCATCACGATCCCGAATATTTTCCAGAACCAGAAAGATTTAAACCCGAAAGGTAAATATTATTTAAAAACTTCAAATTTAATTTAAATTTCAAGTAAAACACTTCAATTATAAATTATGGATTTTTTTTACCCGATCTATTTACAGATTTTTACCCGAAAATAGAGAATCCATTAAACCATATACATTTTTGCCTTTTGGCGAAGGTCCACGTAATTGTATTGGGATGAGATTTGTCACTATGGTAATGAAAATTTGCATAGTTTACATGCTGCGTGATATCAGACTAGTTGCCACGGAAGAAACACGGGTAAATATATTTTTTAAACGACAAACTGTAATAATTTTAATAGATTTATATAATTTACTGAAACAAATACGTTCATATCAAAAATTTCGTACGAACGCATTGAATTTCAATAGAAAAAAAAACACAAATTAATAAAATTTCCAAATATAATATATAATAGAAAAATACAAATATTGATAAACTTATTTGTAAATCAATCCTAAATAAATTTATTTTAGTTTAAAACCTTTAGTTTAGTTTAGCCTAATATGAAGTTTTAAAAATAATAAAGTAAGCGATGATCATTTCATTTCCTTGAAAAGTGAAAAAATACTTTGCGATTACATCGTTTTATAGCGTAACTCCAATCGAACTTACAATCAAATTCAGTTCAAAATACTGATATTTATCCAAATAAAATTTAAAGAATCTACTGTATTGAAATACGAAAAAGCATTCAGCTCAATACATATCAATAATTTATTAATGAAGAATGTAAACTTTCTTATGATTTCAAATTCACAAACATAAAAATAAAAAATCTATCAACTAGTGCTACCTGTTATGAGATTTTGTTATTGATAACTTTATAATGGCAAAAGACTTAATTTTGAGTGTATGAATGAGTTTTATGAAAAAGTGCAAATGTTAATTACGAATAAAACCTGCATTAAGCCATACCCCTCTCTAGATATGACACATGACTTCCTCTATCTTTCTCACAACCTCGATCTTTTATCACCAAAATTTAATAGTATTAATGCTCTTCATTGCAGAAACGAAATTTATCCTGAGATATTAAGCGAAATAGATACTAATGCACACGCACACTTACAACATACATACATATTCACGGAATTTTTTTATCGCTTTTTTTTAATTTTTGGATTTGAGTGGTTTCAAAACGTGATTTGCAAAAAAACTCTGATGGTCAAATTTGATTCCAATACTTTCCTTGTTAAGTAGCCTATATATACAACAGCTGTAAAGTAAAAATAGAAATAGTAGAAATAAAAGTTAAATAATATGATGGAATTACAATTTTTTGTAATATAATTGAATGTTGATTTTAAGTCATGGCTGTTTTCTGGCCCTTCAGTGGCTCAGTGAATAAAGCCACAAAAACATTTGTAGTTGACACGTGGATTCGCGACCCTCCAATAGGCTGGCCGCAAAGAATTTTCCATACTTTCTGCATGTTTTTAACACCTAAATGGGCGTCCAGTTTTTCATAGAAATCGTTCTCAGGTTGCTCTCCTTTGGCAGATCACCCATGTCTTGCACAGATGTAGCCCATAAAAACAACCAAGCAAGCTTTTTCATTCTGTCAGTAGCTATTCCACATTTTGATCATATCCAAACACCCTGATACAAATATATGCTACTATGCCGTCACAAAAAATAGAAAATTATTAGTCATTGGTTTTTGTTTTTGTTTTTTTGTCATTTACTTCGATAATAAGTAAAAGCGCCCTACCATTGCCTTCAAAGAAGAGCATTGGAAGTGTAAAATTATTTTAATTCAAAATTTGGTTAACTCTGAATAAATGCAAAATGTTCCAGGCAGCATGAACTGGTTTATAAATAATCCTAGTAATACGGGACTTCCAATAGTCAATTACCAAATACTTTTACCTATAAAATCTTTACAGTCGAAAGTTTTTTGAAATCATAGTCAGCAAAATTCAAACTGATATCTTCACTTTTGACAATACCAATTTATTAGGGAACAATATTCTTACCTGTTATATGTATCTCTAAAGTCAAATTGCTGCACTCAATAACAAATAGAAAAATTAATGAACCTATATAATTTTTTGCAACTATTTGGGCTGCAATTTACAAAAATTGTACATTTATAAACACCCACTGTCGTCTGATGTCTGTCCGTCCGTGCCTTTTTTCGCTGTACTGTCTTTCCTTAATCTGAAAACGGAGTTAGATAGATGAAAGCCAAAACCAGTTATGAAAAAATTTGGACAAGAGGCTTTCATAACATAAGAACTTTCGGTGCAAACGGGTAATGTTATTTCAATTCGAAATTTTCTCCTGAACAGAGTTACATAGATGACCGACATGACTCTGTTGTTAACGGGAAAAGTATGATGTTTTGTTTAATGATTTAGTAACGTAATTTATAATTTTTCTTTTCGTTCTTTTATAGAAACCATTAGAATATTATTATGGACAAAATGTACAAGTGAAGGAAGTGATTTTGAAAGCTGAAAAGAGAACTCGATTTCATTAATTTGGTTGACAAAATTCCTACAGTACAGAACAACTGTTTCTGTAATTTAAAAAGAAAATAATAATTGTATTTATAACTTTCTAATAAATAATTTGACAAGAGTAGTCTACACATTTAAGATTTTGTGTATATATATGATTATTATTTACAGTTGTATATACAAATATACTTATTGTATATGTTATAATTATACATATAATTGTATACATATCGCACCCCGGAAAGAAAAGTGACACAACTCAAAAATGCAATATTTGAGAAAAATCTACTTAAAGAATACTATAAAACTTATAGTATAAGCTGCTTTTAAATTTCAGGTAAGTATTTATGGCGGTAAATTCTATTATATTCTATAGCATCCTTTCATAAAGTGGGCGATAACGTCCCCTTGTGGATGCTGGAGACTTTCAGAGGGGCAATAGAAAGCTCAGTGATTAAATATGAGTTTTATTTCTTATCATTGAAACATTCTTTGATCTCAGAAACAGGATATGGATCACACCCTATCTATCCTATCCATATAATACAGTAGATCCCCCTATAAGACGGTAGATACGTTCCGTTCTTTATGAATCCGATTTTGTAGGAATCACAGCCAATCACAGCCCGACACGTGTCAAGTTTACCGACTACGGCTGTTTGAAAGGTTTTCTTCCATAAAATTAATCGATTCTAGACTAATCCGACTCAACATTTCCAAAATACGTATATTTTTTGGAAATAATCCGTATAAACTACGCTATAAACAAAAAATTGTAGGATTACTTACCGAGTGTGCATCATTCGATATCGCCATTGCTCAAGCTCGTTTTCGTCGAGGAACAACTCAGCAAACCGCGGCCGCAATTTCTGATGTTATTTTTCTGCGAAAACTTCGCTGAACTTTGGAGACATCATTAATATAAATATTTTTTATCGCCGTTAAATAAGAAATGTTTCTTTCACAAGAAATGTATAAAATTACAGTACTGTATTAGACTTACGGTACCTAATTTACATACTGTACAGACGATAGTTCGCCTAAACTCTCTGTAGTGTAGCGCCAGGCGGCGGAAAGCATATATATAATTATAATAAAGTTACAATAAATTAAGTTAATATATAATTATATATACAGTACCTAATTTATATGTAATTAATACATAATTACAGTACCTAATTTATATATAGTATATATAAATGTATAGTATATATAAATGTACAGTACCTAATTTATATATAATTATATGTACAGACTCAATTTACCCGCCTAAACGTCCGTAGCGTGGCGCTACGGACGGCGGGAAAGTAGTTCGGCTGCCCGATGACGTTTTACGTAATTATAGAAGTTTTTTTACCGTTGTGTACGGATACCGCCACAATTTTTTCGCTGTCTTAAAGGAATCGTAATTATATGAACCAATCTTATATGGGGATTTACTGTAATGCATGTTTAAACATTATATTTGCAATAACTGTTTTTAAAATATGCAACAGATGGTAATATAAAAAGGTAAGTCAAAAATATGGGGGCACTAGATTTTTTTTTTTTTTAATCTCAAAGTGCGCTGTGGTCGAAATAAGTTTGAGAATCTGTGTTCTATAGTATAGTAATTATGGATTTGTAGCTCTGCTCTCGTCGAATGTGAGGTATTATCAGTTAAATATAGGTGAGGTCTTTGAGTTATGTCACTTTTCTTGCTTTTCTAAAAACTTTTTTTGCGAGATAGAGATGTGACGCTTGTCGTGAACGTTGGGGCACTTCATACATATTTTTCAATGACAACCTCAAAATTGCATATTTTGACTTAAGTCACTTTTCTTGCCCGGGTGCGATATATAGACACAATTATTTGATATATTTTATAAATTATAAATTTTAATTTAATAATGGAGCGTTCTTTCCATCAGATGAATAATGAAAAGAAATTCATTTTATGAATTGTTGGATATGAATAGACTTGTTTCTTAATTATTATATTCACAATGGGACACTAATAATTCATAAAATTGAAACTAAACTATTTACTCAAATTTAATTTATGGAAAGTTTTTATGAATATGTTTGAGTAATATTCACGACACAGTAATGCGTGAATATTACTCAAATCACAGTAACACAGTACACAAGTACACAGTACACAGTAACAAAGTGGAACACAGTAATGCGTGTCTTTCATAAATTTTAATGTTTGTCAAGTTAAAGTTTAATCCGAGCATTTTACACTCGTATCTAAATATAAAAAAAGATAAGCGTCGAAAAATTCAGGGAAAAGCAACCCGTAATTAGAATTTCAAATATGATACGTGATCAATATTCTTGAAATTATCGCGGTGAATATTTAATCGATAAAATTTCGGGTACTTAGAGCACATTTTAATTAAATTTTGTCAAAATTTGTATATACCGTATTAGCCCGAATATAACGCGATATTTTTCGACCATTTATTTTCCGTTAAAAAATCGACTCGCGTTAAATTCGGGGTTTAAGTAATGGAATGTAATATAAACAAGGACATTTTCCTACAGAGGTTGCCTGTGTTATTAGCTATACAGTAGAGCGTCGTTTATCCGAAAGCTGGTTATCCGAAACGTCTGTTATCCGAAAGCATTCCAGTCGGCAAATTTAAATTTTCGCTAGTGCTGTGGCGCTGCAATCTTCGGCTATTTCTTGGGTTACTCAAATATTTTACGTTTTTGATACTAAATTAACATCTGAAGTATAATTTTTTATTGTTTTTATATTTTTCAATATATTTATTTTGTTTGTACAAAATAAAAAAATAATTTTTAACGATACAATAGTCTTCGTTAGGCTTAACATCGACGAAAATTCAACGCGAAGCGACACGCAACGGAGAAAAATTTCAACATGGGATAAATTATATTTTTTCGTACATGATTCGTTATCCGAACCACCCCAGTCCCCAACTGATTCGGATAAACGACGCTCTACTGTAATTACATAAATAAATGCTTATCTGATTGAATTTTACTTTCTTTGAATTCTTTTATGAGTATTATTGTTTTTCTAAATATCTTTATGAAAATTTTGGAGTCGCGTTAAATTCGGGGTCGCGTTATATTCGGGCTAATACGGTATTTTGAATATATATATATATTTATTTATTAAAAGAAAAATTCATCACAAAACGATTATTGATGTAAATATCTGAAATTCCATTTAATCGATATAAGTTGTGGTTACCAGAGCCCCTTCAGCCGCCTATTTAAACTACAGGGTCATTATAATTAAAGTTCCACTTTGAAATGGCCGTAAAAGGAAAACTACTGGACAGAATGTTATCAAACTTGGTAATAGTTTACAGAAAGTCATGGATTTCATTTTTAGCAAAAAATAAAAAAATAAAAAATAGCTCAAAAACTCACCATCAGCGGGGAATGGCGCTGTATGCAATATTATTAAACAAAATAAGACATGAAGACATCGATTGAAAAATGTTTTTAATCGTTTCTAAAACGTGTTATAAAGCATGTTCAATGTGGCGTCCGCTATTTTCTGAAAGTAAGTTAAATTCCTCCTGATATGCTGAGAGAAAAGAGTAATGCGATTTAACTTTTGCATTTCCCGCTGGTGGTGAGATTTTTAACTAATTTTTTTTTTTTTTTTTTTGCTGAAAATAAAATACCATGACTTCCTGTAAACTATTTCCAAGTCTGATAACATTCTGTCCAGTAGGTTTCCTTTTATGGCCATTTCAAAGTGGAACTTTAATTATAATGACCCTGTATTTCAATCTTTAAAATTGGCTTTCCACTTTCCGATACGAGGACCCAGAGGTTGGATTTGTGGGAAGCCAGTGTTCGGGTTGTTCCATTTTGTCGAATTACAGAGAACGAGACACTTGACTCCTAAGTGCATGAGTGCGAGAATTTGAGTGTAGGTCAAACGGTGTATATCTTCGTGTACACTGATGTGTGTGTATGTGTGTGTGTGTGTGATACGAGAGCATCTTTCGGCATGTCTAAAAAGAGAAAACCGGTAAATTACGATACGAGAATAAGATGTGTAAAAAAATAAAACGAAAGAGTTCTTACCATCGGAGATTTCGGGAAATGTTCAATCAGTGGCGTAGCGTGGGTGTCAACCGCCCGGGGCGGAGAAAAATTTCGTCCCCCCTTATTTAGGTATCTCAATTTAAAAGACTAAAATTCAGTCCCTGACGGAATGTCATTTTGCGATGCAAAGAATAATATGCAGTGCATGCTGGTTCTAAATCAGTTATATACGAATAAATCGTAGAAGCAAAAAATAAAATAAAATAAAAAAAAGGTCGACAGGTTGCGCAAGATATCCCCAGACGGCGAGTCGATTCCCGGACTGTCCGGATGGTAACACTATTCCGTGCTCATTTCAATCGGTCCGAATCGTAGGTGGACGAAGATATGAAATAAAATGATTCAACTTCTTACAAGATATTATTATTTATTGTGAAATTTTGCCGCCCGGGGCGGGCCGCCCCTGCCGGCCCCACTACGCTACGCTACTGTGTTCTCTTGTATGGCCACTTCGTCCTCTTCGTGGTAAAGTTGGGGAAGAAGATGCTTCTCCGTCCTAAATGTTCCTAAAAAACACAAAGACAGTGAGAAAGCGAGAAGTTTATTTATTATCTAAGGTGATAATGTTGACTAATATATTAGTTAACATTATCACCTTTATCAGACAGCAGAAGTATAATCCGTCATTCTTCCCGAACAGTAGGGGAGGTCGGGGCAACTTCGGCATGCGGGGCAAGTTTGTCAAGCGCTTTTTTTAAAAAACAAATTAAAAGGAGACTTTGGTTATAGGTTAGGCAGTTGAGTTTTATTGGTGGCTTGTTGAGTGTAGTGTTTTTATTGTTCTCCAACAAGCGTAGTTGAATTATCAAGCAAATTTTCATTTTCGTTCAATTCCATATAATATTTTTTTTCCATTTATATTGAATTGGCAGGTTTTGTTATAATTCCATGATAACGAAAGTTACTTTTCCTGTTAGAAGGATGTAACTTCAACTTATTCACGTGGCCAGATCGTGGCTTGGCATTCTGTTCTCAGGGTTGTACTTAATGTTTCGAAATCATGACTAGCGGGGTAAGATCGGCAACATAAAGCCACATTAGAAGCAAAGGATAAAAATCAAACAGATGATAAATGAAAACATGTTTGCATTTGTTATTCATGTATATATGTCTTTGAACTTGCATTTCGTTGTAATAATATTAAATGGGTGTTGGATTTGTATTTCTTTGTTTTAATAGTGAATTCCAACTTATACATTGTTAATAACATAATTTTATATACGTGCCTATCTTGCCCCATTACTGTTGCCCCTATACCAGGGGCAACTTTAATAAAAATAATTAAAATAATTACAACTTTACAAAAAGAGAGAAGTTGCCGATCTTGCCCCTATACCCGGGGCAACTTCGGCGATTTCTCTCTTTTTGTAAAGTTGTAATTATTTTAATTATTTTTATTTCCAAACTGATTTTAACCAGTTCTATAGTAAGAAAACATTACAATAGACAATATGCAAAGCTTTTTGTCAGTTTACAGCAGTATTTATTACATAAAATTTAAGTAAAGCTTAACATGCCGATCTTGCCCCGATCTCCCCTATGTATAGAGATTGCGGCGCAAATTCTAACGTTACTTCTACACGGCAAGCAGAAGTACTACTATGTTTAAATACATATATTATATATACATAATAGGTATTTGTCGTTACCTCGATGCTATCATAAGTAACAATAAAAATATTCTTTAATTTTTAAAAAATGTAATCAGTTTTCAAAATTTGATATATATTCAATAAATGTATTAATTTGTTTACTTTAATCTTATTTTTTAAGTCTTTTAAATATTCCGAATTTTAAAAAGTATAAATGAATATTTGTTTCTCTCTATTCGATATAATTTATGAATATTGTTGTTAAATCATTGTAACAATAATAGAGAAATTAAAAAGTAAATATAAGTTTCAGTTATACAAAAAATGCTCTTTAACAGTACTATCATTAAATACAATTCGATATCTGTTAATAAGATAACAAAATTTAAAGAACGTAAAAAAAGTACCCTGCTAACCGAAAAGTATCAGTATACATAATACATATTATTTTTTGATAAACTGATCGAAACGATAATACGTCAAGACTGCACAAATAAATATTAATTGCCAAATTGTGTAGAAATGGATGATTTGGAGATTCTCGTCAAATCTGACATCCTACGGCTGGCTCTTACATCACTTGCATTCATGCTAGTGTAATCCTAAACTTCGAACTAGGTTTATGTATGGAACCAGAACCGCCATAATCGAGCGTTCCGGGCATACATGACACACCGGCGACGTTGAAAGTGGGTATCAAAAACATTTCTTATTAAATGCCTGATTTAAATGATAAAATGACAAAAAATGGAACAAAATATTGCAAAACTGCGAGTTCCAATGATTCCAAATGTTAATGCTTATTAGGTTATATTTATATAATACGTAGTGCATACCAGAATTAGGGTACAGCAAATTATGTAGTCTAAGCTGCCTCTCGGGACAAATTTGAACAAGCCTTCGCCAGTCAATTTATGGTTCCATTCGTGTGCCAGCAGCAGGTCCTGAGTAATTCGTTTTTCGCGAACTTGTTTTCGAATGTGACCAAAACCATGGAGTTTTCGATCCAAGAACAGCGTGCTGTCATCAAATTTTTGTTCACTCGTGGTGAAAAAGAGGCCAGTATTCACAAGCAGTTAATGGACGTCTGCGGGAAATATGCTCTTGCTGACTGAACAGTTTACAGACTAGTTTATAAGAATGTTGTCAGACATTCATTCCATCCAAAATCAATTAAAAGGAGTTTTGATGTTGATAAAAAAATTTGTGTATTCGTAAGAGGCTTAAAAATAGCACTTGCATGTGGAGCGAGATTCCCTAGAGGCGGCCTTGCATGGGACAAATTTTAAAAATTCTGTATCGTTCCCGTTTTATTACAGATAACTTTAGGGTCATCCAATATTTACGCGTATAGTTCAAGCGGAAAACGCGAAAAGAAGATTGTAAGCGATGAGGAAAAGGAGTAGAGTTATTGTTTGTACGGTTATTTTAGTGGTATTATCAGTTAGAATATATTTGCAAAATTGTCTGAAAAACTGTACACATAATTAATGGATTGTTACGTATAGCTTTTTTTTTTTACCGTACCATTTCTGTTTCTTGGATTCCCGTACTGTTTTGTCCCTGTTCTCCACAATCATTATAAATCAAGCCATAGACAAGATAAAATACACTTTTAATCAACACATAATATAAAGAAAAAATGTTATTAAAATGCTAATAAAATGGAATCTGTTTATTATGATCACATTGAGACTTGCAACCTTCGATAATAATAACCGGCTGATAACTTTAAACAGGCATAATTTAAAAAATTTTACAAGGAATATTCTTTTCGAGTTAAACTACTCAATCTATACCAACTTCCGAGAATTAAAACACTGCAACATTAAACATTTCTCAACAAGAAATATTATTTAAATTAAAATATTAAAATAAATCTTCCACGTGCGACTCGCTTCAAACCCATCGAGGCGTCTTCATTGGAAAATACATCAATACCTCATGGTTTTATATCAATACCTCATGGCTTTATATCACGCTTAGTCCATTAATTAAACAAACAAATCAATCAAAAAACGATCGATTTATTTATTATGACATCGGCACATTGCCGGGCTGCCATTTTTAATCATATTTTTAATTTATTTCCTTTAAAATACCGGTATATGCTTTCCACCTCAAATTAGTAGTGGCTTGTCCCTGTACATCATATCTTTAAAAATAGAGTCGTGCCGGTCATCTATCTAACATCTTTCAGGTGAAGTTTATTAAGTGAAATAACATGACTTCCGGTTTTCACTGGAAGTTCATACATAGTCAATCGGAGCTTCCTATCCCTAAGGTCAATGTTTGGTCTCGTCTTTCATTTTTCTAACTTCGTTCTTGAGATAAAGGAAAGACATACAGACGGACGACAGTGGGAATTTATACGTCTACATTTTTTTTCCAATTTCAGCCAAATTATGTGACTATCTACAGCTACAACCTATTCAACTATGCACAAGAACATTACAATACTTAGCCAATTACAATACTCAGCCAATTACAATACTTACGAGCATATACTATACTATGTAATAATGCTACTAGATGGCGCCATCACGTCATCATTAACCAAGTATAAATTGAAAGTCTTTTCTGACAATAAAAAACTTCCATATAATGACCGAGTATTGCGCATTGTCAGACGAGATAAGTGAAACAATCATCTAAGTTTATTTAACAGGAGTGACGTTGATAAAGTTTTACAGTCAATTGTAGCAGGCAACATGGATGTCGGATTTGGTTTTACTCTACCCAATTGGCTTATTCTAGCTTCTATGGTTGTCATTCTTTTTTATATGTAAGTATAACAGACAATATTCTTTGATATATTCTTTATAGAGTATACTAACATCTAAAATATTACGAAGAATAACGATAACAAATAGGCTTTGACTTCTTTGAAAATTAAAACATCGTTAGTACTAATTTCATTTAAATCTAACCAGATGATTTCTAAATATTGTACTTAAGTTTTTAAAATTTATAAATTATTATTTCCTTCTGTTTGATATTATTTAACTTTAATGCTTTAATGAAATGAATGCAGAAATAAATAAATAAATAAATAAATAAATATAGGCCTATATATATACTTGAATAATATTTTTTAAGAAAAATAAACAAAAATACAACTTTCAACAATATAAACAACCAAAAAAAAAAAATTGATAAAAGTTTTAAAAAATAACATTTTAAAATAGAATATTTTTTTCATATAAAAATATAAAATAACATGAATGTTTATTACTTTATATCAGTTATATTTACTTTAAAAATTTAATAGAGTTTTAATTTTAATAATTATATAAATATATAATTTTATAAAGTATACTCCATANTTAAATAAATTAAAAATATAATTAAAAATTGCAGCCTGGCATTGTGGCATCGTCCTATCGCCGAGCTGTAAATTATTGTGATGATGTCACAATAAACAATTTCTCGTTTATTGAATAAATATTGCCGATATGTAAAACAATAGGAAAGTGCATCTCGTCGCAAAGTCTTTTCATTTAGAAATTACTTGACTTTAGAACTGTTCTAACAATAAAATGCAATTACCCTATAATCATTATTCATTTATCTTAAATATTATTTTTATCAAACGAAATGCATATTCGTTGAAATATTTTGTTTTGCTTCATTAATTCAATCACTATTTTGATACGGTTGCTTTTCATTTTAATGTGTAATTAATAAAACTAAAACTGTCATTTAAATGTGTAAATAAACAAAGTAATGAATTTTTTACCTCAGAAAAACAATATAGTTTGTGGTATAAATCTGTTAATCGGTAACAATCAAAGTATCTGTTTAATAAGGATATGGATAAATTCTTTAACATAGATATGTTTTTATTCTTATTTAGGTTAACATCGGCTACCGAATACAATTTGAATTATCAATATATTTTTATAATTCAAATTGTATTCAATGTAATTCTATATCATTGTGCTAACAATGATATAGAATTACATTGAATACATTGTGCGTCACAATGCTATGCTCCAATTTTGAAATATCTTTTAATTTAAAAAGTGACGTCACGTTCGGTCTGGACCGGAAGTTCGTATACAGTTAATCGGGACCTCCGGTCTCTAAGCTTTCCAAGCTTGTTCTCCATTCTTATCTAACTTCGTTCTCGAAATTAACGAAGGACCAGACGCAGGGGCTATCCGAAATATCAGTTATCCGGACAACCCCAGTCCCCAATTGATTCGGAAAATCGACGCTCTACTGTAAATATATTAATTTCATATATATATATATTGATTAAGTAATTGCATTTGACTCAATTAATTAAGTAATTGTAAATAACAATAGAAATTTAATAAAGTAAATCAAAAGATGGCAAAAAAAAATAATGCAGCTTAAAATAACGCGAAATAATTCAGTGATAATAAACATTACAAAGTAGAAAGGTCACGTTTAAACTAATCGATTGTAAATAGTGGCATTATATGAGACGCTAGTAGTTGAGCTTTAATATACGTTGAAAGTAGATATTTTATGCGCTGCGATATAGAATATTTAATTTCTCACGAATAAAATATCCATGCGTAAGATATCTACTTTCTTAAAGTTTTTAGATTTTGCTGGCAAACTTATGATGTCCCCTTTCGATTATATTGAATATCATTTTTATATTCCGTAAGAAGACTGCTGCTACTCAAACATTTCGTGGTAGTAGTTGAGATTAATATAGCCTTGTTATATAATTTTTATTTAATTGTTAAACGAATCAGTTCTTTGATAACAGCACATTGTAATAATAAATATTATCATTATTGTTGTTTTAAGCAAAGTGATATGACAAAACAGTTATGTGGTATCTAATATTAAGAAAATGTCTACATTTCAGTTATAAAGAAGCATGAAATGGGGATAAAAATGATATCTCTTAGTTAGTGTTTATTAAATGTTACAAATTATAATTGTAAGCTAAAACTAAAAGTAAATAAGCTTATGATATCAATAAGAAAAGAAAGATTTGCTATAGTTTAAAAGTATAGAAGTAATCAAATGTTAAAAATAAGTTAATATTTATATTATTGAAAATGTAAACTTATAATTTTTATATCACAGTCAATTGTAGCAGGCAACATGGATGTCGGATTTGGTTTTACTCTACCCAATTGGCTTATTCTAGCTTCTATGGTTGTCATTCTTTTTTATATGTAAGTATAACAGACAATATTCTTTGATATATTCTTTATAGAGTATACTAACATCTAAAATATTACGAAGAATAACGATAACAAATAGGCTTTGACTTCTTTGAAAATTAAAACATCGTTAGTACTAATTTCATTTAAATCTAACCAGATGATTTCTAAATATTGTACTTAAGTTTTTAAAATTTATAAATTATTATTTCCTTCTGTTTGATATTATTTAACTTTAATGCTTTAATGAAATGAATGCAGAAATAAATAAATAAATAAATAAATAAATATAGGCCTATATATATACTTGAATAATATTTTTTAAGAAAAATAAACAAAAATACAACTTTCAACAATATAAACAACCAAAAAAAAAAAATTGATAAAAGTTTTAAAAAATAACATTTTAAAATAGAATATTTTTTTCATATAAAAATATAAAATAACATGAATGTTTATTACTTTATATCAGTTATATTTACTTTAAAAATTTAATAGAGTTTTAATTTTAATAATTATATAAATATATAATTTTATAAAGTATACTCCAGTAAAAAGCACAACTTGCCTTTATTGCTTCAAATAGAAACTGTTTCTCCATGAATAAAACCTCAGTGGCATAAAATGCCCTTCATGGGCCTGAACTACCTTGAGACCACCACCAATTATTTATCTAAATGCTGGGGGTTTTTACATAAGTTTTTTTTATATTGCCAACTTTAAGTCCCTCCCCCCCCAGCATATGTTTTGAAACAACTAACACAATAAATCGGAGTATAATCATCCTGTCAGTTTTAAATCATGAATATAAGAACAAGCAGCAAGTGAATTCATTATTCCAGATGAGCCACTTTATGAANCTGAAGGGTGTTAGATAGATGGCCGGCATGACTGTATTGTTAAAGGAAACATATGGGTACTGTACATGGGCACGCTTCTACTAATTTGAGGTAGAGAGCATATATTTTATATTAAATAAATTAAAAATATAATTAAAAATTGCAGCCTGGCATTGTGGCATCGTCCTATCGCCGAGCTGTAAATTATTGTGATGATGTCACAATAAACAATTTCTCGTTTATTGAATAAATATTGACGATATGTAAAACAATAGGAAAGTGCATCTCGTCGCAAAGTCTTTTCATTTAGAAATTACTTGACTTTAGAACTGTTCTAACAATAAAATGCAATTACCCTATAATCATTATTCATTTATCTTAAATATTATTTTTATCAAACGAAATGCATATTCGTTGAAATATTTTGTTTTGCTTCATTAATTCAATCACTATTTTGATACGGTTGCTTTTCATTTTAATGTGTAATTAATAAAACTAAAACTGTCATTTAAATGTGTAAATAAACAAAGTAATGAATTTTTTACCTCAGAAAAACAATATAGTTTGTGGTATAAATCTGTTAATCGGTAACAATCAAAGTATCTGTTTAATAAGGATATGGATAAATTCTTTAACATAGATATGTTTTTATTCTTATTTAGGTTAACATCGGCTACCGAATACAATTTGAATTATCAATATATTTTTATAATTCAAATTGTATTCAATGTAATTCTATATCATTGTGCTAACAATGATATAGAATTACATTGAATACATTGTGCGTCACAATGCTATGCTCCAATTTTGAAATATCTTTTAATTTAAAAAGTGACGTCACATTCGGTCTGGACCGGAAGTTCGTATACAGTTAATCGGGACCTCCGGTCTCTAAGCTTTCCAAGCTTGTTCTCCATTCTTATCTAACTTCGTTCTCGAAATTAACGAAGGACCAGACGCAGGGGCGCCGCTAGCTGTTTGAACGCCCGTGTGCAATACCGATTATGCCGCCCCCTGTTTAACTACGACTACCTACGCTGAGCTTGCCAGAAAGGCTCTTTACCGCCTCCCTGGACGTGCCGCCCGCGTGCGGTGCACGCCTTGCACGCCCGCTTATGGCGGGCCTGACCAGACGGACGAATGAACGACAGTGGAAATGTATGTGTGCAACGTGAAAATCACAGCCCAATGATTAACCAAATTATTCTATTAAGGCTAACTGTAACCTTTTTGATTATGCACGTGATCTCTAGTAGTTGAAGTTAAAAATTTAATGTTTTTCTTTTTAAATCCTTTCCTAAAAGTTTTCGACAATGGGACTAGATACAACCAAACAGTTTTTTGCATTAGATTCCTTTTTAATTTAATTTAAAAACTTAAATAAATTAACGTACGGTTGAGAGTTTTGAAAATTGAATATGTTAAATTTCTACAAATTTTTTACGACTAAACGTATGTAGAAAATTAATTTTATTTTCAAACTTCTGAACTTGCGTTAGTTAGGCATTGATGCTGTTAAATTTTGGAGATTATAAGTCAATGGGATGAGAGTTAGCAGGTCAAGTGTCACATCTTGAATAGGGCGAACTTAATGAAAATTTTACTCATTATTTGCATTCACAATTTTTTCAACTATCTCTACTCTCGAAATTAAGCCATTTGTCTTTTTATAATTAATAATGTAAGAATTATTTTGTTATAAAATATCAAAACGGATGGTACCACATATAATACTTAAGAGACATTAACATTAATTCAAGGTATCTTACGGGCGCGTTTGGAAATTCTAACCGGTAACACCGCGGAAGTGGTGACCGACGTCATCGGTCATAGCCAATTGGCCTTAAATTTGATATCCTAGTATAATTACAAACTATCAGACTTTCCAAAGGTCCCCTTAACCTCCTGTTCGAGTGTCGGAAAAGTTAAACAATAGCCCATGTCAGCTTTTCTATATATATATTATAATAAGTAGGCCTAATATTATATTAATCGTAAACTTATTTAGTTTACAATGAATACAATATTACAATAATTTAGTTTTTTTTACATAAACAGTGTTTTAGAATGATAACAAACAACTTATTTTTGTATAAAAGTTATGTTATTTAGAATTAAACAAATTTGATTTGCAAATATGATTTATTTCGACTTTTATCGTGCATTCTATTTATTTATATTACAGTTTATTTATTTATTACAGTTACATGGAAAAAAAATTTAGATACTGGAAAGAACAAGGAGTTGAATCACAAACAAAGCTTGAATTCTTAACTGGAACAATAGCAGCTTTAGGAATGGTAAATCAATTACGATGATTCTGTTTAATATAACATAAAAATAACATATTTTTTTATATTCATAATAATTTATTTACAGTAGTAGACATTTAATAAGATAATTATTTTTTTTAATAAAAAGTAAAATACATCTGGATACGAGTCCAATTTTGCTTGCCATGTCTAATCACCAGGAACAACTATTTCCATTGCAGAGACAACCTTTCTTAGAGGCTATGCCTCTGCACAAATATGTAAAACAGTTTAAAATGTTCACAGGTGACAATCCCAACACAATTAAAACAATTCTAATCCCTTTTCTACAAAGAAATATTATACTTTTAATTGTGTTGGGATTGTCACCTGTGAACATTTTAAACTGTTTTACATATTTGTGCAGAGGCATAGCCTCTAAAGAAAGGTTGTCTCTGCAATGGAAATAGTTGTTCCTGGTGATTAGACATGGCAAGCAAAATTGGACTCGTATCCAGATGTATTTTACTTTTTATTAAATTGTAATTCTGCCAGCCCTTTTCTACAAAGATAATTATTATAAGCTTCAGCCTTAAAACGTATAATGAGAAAAGTCACCGTTTCTGGATGATTTCTACCCGACTCTGTAAAACTTTAATCATGCCTAAACCTATTTCACATTTCATAAACATCATACTTTCTTATTATCTATTTTATTTATCTATAACGGTGAAATTACTGTATATCTATAACTGTAAAAATAAATGTTTTATATTAATATTGTGTTAAGAATTAAGTTTATAGTAATTGTAGAATAGTTAACTACAGTTTTTTAAAGTGTAAATAAATGGTTTAACAAATCTAAAAAAAAAATTAATTTCAACACCTGTTATAGTCATGCAGCGAAATATTACACAGGAGTTAGCCTGAAGTGGAAGAGTCTATGTCAGATGAAAAGGATGGAAGCAGTCATGCAGAAGTTGGCACATGCATTACAGTAATAAAATTTGCAAAAAAAAAGTAAAAATGTAAAATTATTTATGATAAATATAGTACAAAACATTTTAAATTGTAAAAAAACAAAACAGCTAAAAGAAATTAGATCTATGTGTCAACTCCCACACTTCTCCTTCCATCTCTTTCATCTGACACAGATCCAACTCATGCTGATTTATGTCTACTCTTTCGCTGTGCTGACTACAAAATGATAGAAGTATACTTAGCACACTAGTATTAGTAATATGCACACGTGACAACACAAATCACTAATTAAAAACAATCGCATTACTCATTTAACCCAAAAGCATGGCTGTGATGGACACAGTTAAAGACACATTGAAGAACGTGTGGTGGCTTGTGCGTAATTGTAGGTCACATCTAAACGGACAAGCATCATTTAATTACACTTTAAAAAAATTTAGTCATCTATGCTGAAAATACTATAAACAAAATAAAACATTTATTTTACTCATGTCAAGATGATTTCCTGGAACAGGTCGCAATTTAATCTTCCACTACAGTTGCACCACTCTTACTGATACTAATTAGTGCATCTCGGACCTCCGGTATTTATTTCCGGAATCACAATGATTGGCAATCTCTTTTGATGGAAGATTACCAATCGCTATAACCGCGGGAGCATTTTCAGTATTGGTTGTCTATGATGACCAATACTGAAAATGCTCCAAGCAAGATAACGAGTTCAACGAATAAAACTTTAATCAATTTAAATTTTATGATATAAATTTTACAATTAGCATCCATTTTTCTTTCCCAGCTGTTATATATAACAGAGGGAAAGTATGACTGGTCAAAAATTGACCCCTGCCCAAAATTTTTAGACTCGGAGATCATTGAAATGTCAAGAAATGCAAAAACGTTGGGTATTTTATTCTGTATTTATTGATGTTAGTATGTTTATGTTTAGAAAACTAATTTTTCTTCCACTTTAAGGCTTAATTCCTGTAGAGGTTTGGGTAACATATAATTTTAATTTTATTAGCAAACTTGTTTATTGCTAGTTACGGAACTCGTTGCTGGATTTTTTATTTATTTATTGCTACTAATAACTTACTCAATACTTTTATTCCGTTTTATAAAATTAAAGATTTCCTATAGATGTTTATGAAATTTATGAACTCTGAATATAAAAATTTCTTCTGGTACAATAGGGAGAAATTCCGTAGTTACGCTAATAAAAACTAGACAGTAGGGATTGTATACCGGTTTACCGATTTACCGGTTAACCGATAAATTGACAAAAAAACATTCTGTAAACTTACCGGTAAATTTTTTAAATTTATCGGTAATTCGGTAAATGAAAAATTCATACTAGAAATTTTTATGTAGAAAATATTGTGTTTATAGATATTTAAAAGGGCTAAAGGGACATTGAAAAAAAAAAAAACAGATAAGTGTAAGCAACAATATACCTAATTATTAATTTTATGTGAGATATTTTTTGTTTAATTTTAATTTAAACTTTCTTGGGTTTGAGAGGCACTGTAAATTGTACAGAAAGCTCTAGTTAGCATATGTGATTTGTGCTCTGCCGTTTTTTGAGATTTTTAAAGGTTTAAAATCTTTACAATCAACGTTTTTCTTAAAGATTAAGTAAATATCTTTTTTTTTATATTTAAAAATAATAATACGTAAATATTTCACGTACTTTTTAAATTAATAGCAATTTTGAATACACCACATTATGACAGGACATTAAAGCAATATTATTGCAAAATAACATTAAAATTTGTACCTTAAATAAATTTTTTACTTCTAACAACTGTTTAAAATAATTAAATACAAATATTTATTACAAGATTCTAACATTATGCCTTACGATTGTGCAAAATATGTATTATTCTAACCTTATTTTCGTGGGGAATCCCCATTACTCTCACGAAAAGAACTTTCTTTAATTTTAGATTGTAGAACCCGGTGGAATAGCTTACTAAACATGCTGGAAAGATTTTTATTACTTAAAGATGATGTCCGAAAAAGTCTAGAAACTTAACCTAACCCGGATTATTTTGTACAAAAATTAGATCAAAATTAGGAGATAAGACTTTAAATAATTTAAGTTTCTTGAGAAGTTATTTTTTAAAAAATGGTAATCAGTAAAATGGTATTAGGTACTATATATTATTTCTGTTTTATTTTTATTTTTCTGTATTATTTTATTTATGTTTTTAAAAGTTATTATAGTTTGTTTAGAATAACACTTTAATTTTTATATTTTTTATATTCTATACCTTTGAAATAGAAAATGTGAAATGGAAATCAAAATTACTTATATTTTTTATCACCTTAATTTTATTTTTCAGGAAAAAAATTTACCGGTAATTTACCGGTAAACCGGTATTTTAATTTTCATTTACCGAATTACCGGTAAATGAAAAAGTCGGTAAATTTACAATCCCTACTAGACAGGTCTTCATAACAAACTGTATCTGTTAAATTTTTAGAATTGAGAAACGTTTAAAGAATGAGGAGTATGATCAATAAATCAAAGAAATGCCAGAGCTACTGATTTCTCCTTTGTATTTTTACAAAATTACTATGTTCTTTAGCACTCGAATGCTTCCTGTTTTTACTATTTATGTCTTCAGAAGTAAGCACAAAATTGCTATGGAGAATTTATCATTCAAGAACACTGTTGATTGGTTATATAGATTTTATTATATAAAAAGGAAATTCGTCCTTCTTCAGTCCTTATTATACATAACTGATGAAACAAATTATGTATTTATTAGTGACAGCTAAATTAACCAAATATTTTAAAACAAACTGGGATAAAACTAGTAACACTATAAAACATAAAACTTGCTAAAAAAATTGGAAAATAGAAAACTTAACACATAAAAATACTAAACTGAAATAAAATAAAATAAAACAACTAAAATAAATAAATAAATATATATATATATATATAATTTCATTAAAAGGGATATCACGTTACAACAACAAACACTTAAATGTTGCTACAATATTTAAATTTTTATATACTTTATGCAAATTCTACTCTTGATTGTCAGATTAATACTAGAATTAAGAAATTCATATCTTACTATGATATTACATAAATAACATCAACTCAAAGCCCGATTAGTATACATACTAAATTGCCAAACGATCGCCTAAATAACGGGCTATTATATGGCTACTTAAATGATTAGAAATAAAGCAATTTGTCATTAGAGGTAGGCGTTAGGCGCCATCTCGTAAGTAAATTAATAATTAAAATTAAATAAATAAAACCCGGCGAGGTATATATATATAAATAACATCAACTCATAGCCCGAGTAGATACATCACCAAACGATCGCCTAAATATCGTATATTCTTTTATTCCAGAAGGTTCTAAATTTATTTATTTAATTTTAATTATTAATTTATTTAAGAGATGGCGCCTAACGTCTACCTCAAGTGTCAAATTACTTTATTCCAATCATTTAATTAGCCGTATTATAGCCCGATATTTAGGCGATCGTTTGGTGATGTATTTACTACTCGGGCTATGAGTTGATGTTATTTATATACAGTAGATACATTTTGAGCCACAACAACGCGTGGCGGGGTAACTCACTCAGCAAACAATAAACTACACCACAACACCTTAAGTTGCTGAGAAAAATTTATTAAAATGTAACTAACATTTTCAGTCAAATCAATTGGTCATTCTTGGGTTAATTGATAAAAAATAATGATGTTCAAAAATACAATACAGGTAACCCCCGTATAACATGGCACTTCTATAGCACAGATTCACTCTAACACAGTTTGAGAATTGGGAACATTCCCCGTATAATACGGTGCTTTTATAGCATGGGTTCACTCTAACACAGTTCGGGAATTGGGTAAAACCCTCGTACGACATAAAATGTAATAAAGGGTGCGTTCTTTTATACCTCCACGTAACTCCGCGCGAGCATTCTAATTGTTTTTGTGGCTACTTTGAATGCTCTTTCAACAAATAATCCATTTAATGGTTAAATTTTACAGTTGGGACCCTTCTTTTGCCTCTATAAGCTCATTTTAGAATTATAGATTCCTCCACATGATATTATAGATAGTGGGGGTTCCACCATCTTTCTTTCACTGTTATTCCTAAATGCCTACAAGCAGCAGTGCACTCCCGTTGCAGAGCGTTCACTATTAACCACCCACAGAATGAACCCAAAAACTGTTACCAGTTGATGATGCTCATGCTGAGATCATCATATAAAATGAATAATCCTCTGGTAGAATATTTACTTAAATAATAAACAAGTATTTTACCTATGAAAAAAATGAATAATAAATCCAATTTAAATAAGGATTTAACAACATGTTTTTTAATTTTTGGAACCTAACTCTTCTTTTTGCATTAGTTCTTTGTTTCATATAACACGGATTTGTATAACACAGCAATTTTCTGGAACGTAACTTCCGTGTTATAGAGGGGTTATCTGTATATAAATTCAAATACAAATACAGTAGAACCTCCATTATCCGGACCTCCATTATCCGGATTTTCGATTATCCGGATTGTTCAAAATAAACAAAAATTTTACGAATTTGCTGATTTGCAATTGGCGAATTACGACAGTTTATGTACGTGATGGAAAGCATAACTTTTTTGTTTCAACAACGCCTCATCCAGCACAGTGGTCGTAAACTCTTAAATATATTTTACGTAGTAATAAAAATATAATTTGACATACGTATTTATAAATAATTTATATTCAAATTATATCATTTCTATGACCAAGGGCGGCGTAAGGCATGGATGACGTGNTACTAAATTAACTTCTGAAGTATAATTTTTTATTGTTTTTATATTTTTCAATATATTTATTTTGTTTGTACAAAATAAAAAAGTAATTTTTAACGATACAATAGTCTTCGTTAGGCTTAACATCGACGAAAATTCAGCGCGAAGCGACACGCAACGGAGAAAAATTTCAACATGGGATAAGTTAGTATATTTTTTCGTACATAATCGGTTATCCGAAATATCGATTTTTTTTCCGAACAACCCCAATCTCCAATTGATTCGGATAATCGACGCTCTACTGTAGTATTATTTTCCCAATATGCTAACTTTTCTGCAAACTCAGAAAATTTTGACAAATGGCATAGGAGTTATTAAGCTTCAAATTTGGTGAACAAAATCGTGCCCACCACGCACATTAACATCCATCCATACAGAAAAACCCCGAAATTTTTTCATTTATATTTTTCTATGTTGTACATAATAGCCGGGAAAATAAAGTACTGTACATCTTTATTTTGAATATTGCAGTTTTTATAATATTGCACATAAAAAGTGGATTTACGTTCCAAAACGGTTTTTGGGCTGATATTCTGAAATTGAAGACCTATACATTCTCACTGTCCTTCGCCTGTCTGTTCTTTGTTAATCTCGAGAACTTAAAAACTCGTTAAATATAAATAATAAAGTATATAAAGTATATATAAAGATGATGAATATTTACTTTCTTATATATTTTGTCGTAAAAATGAGCAACAAAACACATTATTAATCTTTCACTTTAAAAAAACAGTTATAATCAATTGTTAGTTAGTTGTAGTTTACTAAAAATGTATTTTTCATTTACTATACTTATTCTGTTGCTCTTAAAACTGGTTTGTACTCAAACTTTAAAATATGACAGCTTTTAAGAAAAATACATCCTTATTTACATTATTCCCATCTGAAAGATCTTTTAAAATCGAACTTCACATAATTAGCAGAATCCGAACACTTATTACCCACCGATTATTGTCATTTAAAAAAAAAAAGCATGTAAACGAATATTATATAATTCCTAACCCTTTTAATTGTATTTTTAATTTTTTATTAATTGTATTTTAATTTATTCGTCAATCATTGTTTTCGTTATTTTTATGTATTTCGGGTATAAATTTATTTTTATTTCGGGTATAAATGTTAATTATGGGTAGGAAATCTTTTGTCGTAAGACTTTTACTAATGTGATTGAAATAAATTATTTATTTAACAGTTTTATTCAATAATTAAAATGCCACTAAGTAACTAAAGCACTCAGCTATATTTTAATCAAATAGTTACGTTTGTTTTTTCATTTTTGTATAAATATAATTATTTTCTTGTATTCCGAAACATATAACATGTTTTTGACTTTTAAATATTTATTTATAAACTCATACATAATACTTTTTCAGTCGTTTCACGAGAATGTTATTAATACTTATAAAAGACACGGTAGAATATTTGGGTGAGTCGTTTCTTAATTATAATTTATTATTGTTTTTTATTATTAACATTAATTAAACTTTCTGTGTTAAAATTATTTCAATTTCTATACTATAAATTATATACAGTATATACAAGTATATATATACACAGTATATATATATATACATATACCGTGTATATAATTTTTGTGAAACTTTTAATTATATACCTCTAATATCTAACTAATATATTTAAAATTATTTGTAAATTGTTATACAGTATATTATTTTTTAAAAAAATATTCTCTGTATGTAATAACTTATGTTGAAAATCAAACAATTACAGCAATTTATATTAACATAAATAGATATCAGGTAGATTGTTAAAATTATGTTCATATTTCGTTTGCAGACTTTTCTATTATTTTTATTAGATACTAGTTGTTACCCGCGACTTCGCCCGCGGTGGTTTTGCAAGCAAACCCCATTTATATTCAGTATTTCAACAATCATAGTAATTGTTATATAACACCTACCGCTGAAAATAATGAGAATTGCCGAAAATCAAACTAATTATTTACAGTTTAATCAATCTAAATATATAAAATTGCTTGTCCTGACTGACTGACTCACTGATTCATCATCGCTCAGAGCAAACCGCTGAACCTAAAGAGATGAAATTTGGTACACAGTTAGGGTACGTCATGAACACGCACTCTAAGAAGGAATTTTTCGAAATTCCCTCGCGGGGGGGAGAGGGAGAGTATTAAGTCTTAACCAAAAGAACGGCTTCTACTGTACTATTTTGGATGCGATTTCTTGTTTTTATCTTCGTTTTAGTAGGGTATGCCATGGGAATGCACACTAAGAAGGGATTTTTCGAAATTCCCCCGCGGGGGGAGAGGGAGAGCATTAAGGCTTAACTGGGAGAACGGTTTCTACTGTACTATTTTAGATGTGATTTTTCGTTTTCAACTACGTTTAGTCTTCATTGAGTACTTAGGTGTATTAAATTGATAACATTTCAGACATTGTTATAAACATTTTTATCTATTTCGATTTTTAACCAAATGTTTGAACCGTTTTAAATTCGAATTTGTTATTCCATATTTGTTCGATTATAGAACGATTGATCAAATTGAAAATAGTTAGTTTGATTTTCGGTAATTCTAATTATTTTCAGCGGTAGATGTTATATAACAATTACTACGGTTGTTGAAATACTGAATATAAATTAGGTTTGCTTGCAAAACCACCGCGGGCGAAGTCGCGGGTAACGGCTAGTCGTTCTATAAAGCCTATGACCCCTCGCATAAGCAGAAATTCTCGTAAAATAGCGAAACTCATTAATTATTAAATATTTTCTAGACTAACATATCTATCACACATGTGACAGAGGATCGGCACCTCTTTAGCGCCTCATCAGGACTGACACACCTATGTCTTCTAGGATAGACACAGAAACCTTAACGGCCGAAACTTCGGAATTTGCGCGAGCAGTCACATGCGCGGGCGGTCGGATTCGGGATGGAGGAGTGTTGAGAGACGGCGGATCAGAAGAAGTGCACATTACTACTTAATTAGAATGGAAAATATGTTTATTTATATAAATATTTACACATATACACACGGTAAGCGAGAATTCTAAGAGAGTTTAGCTTTCTAGTAGCGAGTTAAAGTATCCATAGTTATATAGCGTCATCTGAGATTAACGGATTCTTGGCCGAGAAAGAGAGAGCTTACAATAGTACACGCGAGGTGAAATACCTTGATCGGCAGCTTGGTTGTTGTGTCGTAGAGGTGGCAACGTCTCAGTCTCTTTTTGATCGTCGAAGGGAATCCGTTGGCTTGTCAGGTTCGGGAACTGCAACAGGATCGGATCGGCGATCGAGAGGTCGGAGAAAGGCGGACGAAGCAGTCGGCAATCGAGCACTCGCGTAAAAAAAAAACGAAAGTCGGATCGGCGAACTCTCGGACTCTCGACGACCCCTCGTCCTTGAGTCACTCCTTTTTATATCCCAAGCCACGTTATCATTTTCCACTAATCATGAATTTGTGCTATTAGTTCCCAGTGACACGTTCGTTGAGTTCTCTGGGAAAGGAAACGACTCCGGGAAGAGAGATGCGATCATCCTTCGGTAATAAAATTTTCGAAAAACGAAAAATGAATTCTCTCCCAAATTTCGTCAAGTCCGACTCTCACACACACATACACACATGTAAGGCATGTAAACACTATACGGGTATATATAGTAAATTGCCTCAAAATAATACTTTTTAAAAATTTCGGAAGGAGATTTCCCATTAAATCTAAAATTTTAATTTTTTCCCCTCTAAACTAGGCAGCTTACAACTTTCCTTTGTCTTATCAGAGTTACCAGTATCACCATCTTTGCATTTTGGAGCCAAGTTTGTAAAGCAATTAGCATATACGAAAGTAAGAGAAGCAGTTATTTCACATGAACATGTAACAAGCGAGAACTGCGGACAGACTGCGTGTTCCATGGTTTAGTTACTTTAGTACAAAACAAAGAAATAAGTTCAGTAATGCTATCCGAGAACGAGAATGAGCATGACTGAGAGAGATGCTGTGAAACTCCATGCAATTTCAAACTTGGTGCGGATTTAGCACGCAAAGAAGAACTTGTTTTACTATTTTACGTATATTTTATTTTTTTCGAATTGTCAATAACGGAAACCCGAAACCGGGTATGGCGAATCCGCGAATGGCAAGGTCTGTACTTACTTCATAAAAATTTTTATTCTAGAACGTGCATGCCATCATATGATTTATGGATTTCGAAACCAGAACTGATAAAACACATCCTGGTAAAAGACTTCCCAACTTTTCGTATACGAACGGTGAGATATATTGATAATCCTGTAGCTTGGAAGAATGAGGGCTAATGTCAAGGGTTTATTCTTCCAAGCTACGAAATTACAAATAACTAATATGTTTATAGTTATTAATAATTAATTGTGAAAATTGTGAGTAACTATTAAATAAGTTTTGAAGTACTTTTGTCTGTTAGCAGTTTCTGCGAGAGATATCTTTGATTGCACACCGTTATGCGTTTCATAGATCTAGCAAAATGATTATAAATACTTAATTGATACACACAATGTAAAATTTTGGTTGAATACTTTCAAAACAGAAAATCTTTAATTTTTATAGAAAATAGATTTTGGAGATCCAATAGTCAATAAGATGCTCAGTTTTATAAATGATGAAGATTGGAAAAGAGTAAGAAACTTAATGAGTCCAACATTTACGAGTAGCAGAATGAGAAAAGTAAAATAAATTTTCATTAATAAAATGAAAGAATTTCTGTAATAATATAAATTGAAATTTTTGTTTTCAGATGGCAAATTTAGTTAAACAATGTGCTGAATCATTGGCCAAACGTTTCAACGAAAACGCTGAAAAGGGAAAAAATTTTGATTGCAAAGAGTATGAATTTATTATATCCTCTCATTTTAATAACTTTATAATTAGAGATAATTATAAGAAATGTTTTACTAATTAAATCAAACTTTTTCTGCTTAAAAGTTTGAATAAATATATAAACTATAAGTCATTATCAAAGTTAATATGAAAGTAGAATTCAAATTAATAATTTTTAAAAATTTAGTAAAAATATAAGAAATTACAAATGTGAATAATATAATAATACATATATATATATATAATTATGAACATTAAATATTGTTCATCTTAGTAGTCATTAATATGAATAATAATGTTTGAGTTTTTTTATCGTAGAAAAATTAGAAACAACGGAAATGGATGATGTAAGAGCGAATAAATTTTTTTTTTAAATAATTATTTAAAATACATATATATATTTAAAATTGGAAGATAAAAATTAGAAGCTAGGCGATATCACTTTTCTCGAATTCAAATATTGTATCACCAATCTCGAATACCTCGAACAATAATGAACTTATTTAACATTTATTTAACTTGTTTCAATGTATCAATAAATTAGTAGGGCATACAGAATGGTAAAGGAAAAACAATTTACTAAATTTTAAGAAGTAACTTTTTAATTTTGTTTACAGATGGGCGAATGCTAGAAAATATTCGACTATTCTAGATTTCGGATAACTTATAACGTTAAAAGTAATAAATTCGAGTACAACGAATATCTCTAATATCTTTCCACGCGTATAGGCAGAACCTCTTCTGAACTTCTGGCTTAATTTGCAACAAGAAAAGAAACAGACGACACCCTGCAACTGTTCGAATGCTTTTTTTCATAAGTATAAATCAGAAGGTGTTGAAAATGTGAACTATTGTTGATTAACCTATTGTCTATAATGCAGTGAAGATACAAGGGGTGCCATTGACACCAAAATAAATAAATAAAATAAAATTTATTTGTTCAAACTTTAAAACGTGATTTTTAAAAATATTTACAATGGCAAATAAGATTTACCAGACCGTCCGCATTGCAATCGTCGCATACGTGTGCTGGCACTAATTAATTATTCGAATATTTTTAATTTTTGATTTCGCTGACGTTTAGGTTCTTTCTGAAGATGCCACTGTGACTATTAATATTAGTGGTAATCATGGTATTCGAATGTAATATCGAATGCTTTCGACTATTCGCTCATCTTTAACAAAAGCTACCGAATTTATTGCTTATAAATGTACTAGTTTTAAACATAATTTTCTACAGCTTTTTGTGTAGAATCAAATCTCAGTATTGCATCCTACTTAATAATGCCATCCTTGTAAAGCTTTAATGAACAAATTTATAAATCGAACCATTTACACGCTTATTCAAATCCATAAATATGAAATCGAATGCCATTCGAATATCATTCATATTACGCTTTTGTATCGCAAACGACGTTATCATCAACTCATGTCACTCTCAAACTCAAAATTACTGTAAAAATTACAGCTTATATCCGACATTATACAATTATTGATGCTTTAATTTTCTAATTTAATAGTTTTTAAAAATTTTAATTATTTATGGTTTTAATGTTTTTAAATGGTCAAAAAGTAACATATAAGTTTTCAAATGATGAAAAATTATTAGAGTAGACTTCATTTTTACAACTTGATTTTCTTGTGGAAAACTGAATCAACTTATTTCCTATGACGTAAATGTTATAGCAAAAGCAAACAACCTCGGCATACTTGGCCTGGGATTTCAAGTAAATGTTATAAATTGAATTACATTATTGGAGGTACTGTAGTTTGGAATATATTTATATATTTATTTATATATTCAAAGACATGACCAAGAGCAAAAAGAAAAAAAGTATGTCATTTCATTAGTCTTAAAAGAAACTTTATACTCGAAATTTTATATAATAGCGTAGTATATATGTGTACACTACGCTATGTATTAGTGTATACAATAAAATTTTTAAAAATTTATGTTAAAATAATTAAATTTTTTCAAGGTTAACAAGTACATTTACTATCGATGTCACTGCATCTACTGCATTTGCTACCAAACTGAATGCACAAGAAAACGAAAACAATGAATTTGTCAAGAACGCTCGAATGGTTTCAAATAGAAATATATCAAAATTAACGCTTTTGGGATGTAAGTTTTTTCTTTTATTATTATAATTGGAATTTATTTACGCAGTAGAAGTTTATTAGTACAATCCCTCTAAAAAGTAGCTCTAGAAAAGTAGCCGAAAATTCGAAATTAATCGATAATAACCTTGCATGCTAGTATTCCTCAAATCAAAATTTGCTTGGATACGTATTGCGATAAATATACGGAGCGGAAATACTGTATTATAATTTATGCAAGTATGAATGATAATTGAACGTTTTCATTAATACAGTGGTAGGTTTACAATTAAACATTAATTATCATAGTATAGTTATTAACTTCATTACCATCAGACTGATTGAAGAGCGTTGGTAAACAAATTGGAAACATACATCACTGTGCTATAAAGCAAACTGTAGACAATGCCTGCAATGTTAAGATCTCAAATAAGTTATTAAATTTTACAAAACTACAAAATCGTTTGGTATTATTTTGACATTATTGATAAACTAGTCTTGTTGGAGCCGAATTAATGAACTTCTGCCGTATAATCAATTGTTAATACCATAAGATATGAGTTTTCGAACACATCACAAATTGTATTTTCAAAAACAGATTTAAAAGAAATAAAATAAGGTATTTTAATTAATGTATATCATTTTTAATTAACAGTTTTGATTGCACCGAAACTAATTGGTTACTTAAAATTGGAATTTTTTCCGAGGAAATTATTAGAATACTTCCAGAACGTCGTTTTGAAAATCTTGGAAGAGAGAAAACAAAAGAAAGTTGTAAGAAATTTTAATATGCATTTCGAAATATTTAAATGTAAACATTCTGTTAAAAAGCGATTATCTGATATGTGTTATATAACATAGTATATAAAAAATAACTTTCACTTCGATTTCCACAAAGCATTTTATTTAGTGAAATGCTTTTCAAATGAAATGAAAAGCATTTCACTAAGTTAAAAAAATCTTTTCGATTAATTGTCATAAAATTTTGTAAATCTCTTTTAAATATTAATTTAAAAAAAAAAAAAAAAAAACATAATGCTGATAAGGATTTCTGTGATTAGAATTGATTAATTATGATTTATAATTAATTCATATTATATAAAAAAGAGCTTAAGGCACTATTAGATGTATAAAATAACATAATTTAAATTACCTTATATTATTCTATATTTCGTACTTGTGAATTTTACAAAAATTTTAATGAAGTTATAGAACATGCTTTAAGAATTAGCACGAATTTATTGAATAAATATTTTTTCTACAGGATTAAGTTAATAAAAACAATAATTGTTTTTTTTATTGAATTCTGGAGATAAATTGAATTTGTTGACTAAAATGATTTATTTTATATGAAGGTCATTTGTCGCAGTGACTTAGCAAAGTGTTCCAAAATTTAGCAACAAAAGTCACTTCTTTTTAATACACTTTAAACAATAAGTTGAGTAAAAGATTTCTTCTTCTGTTGGTTACGTAAACAGGGATAACTTATCATAGCCACTTAAGAGAACTCTCCACTTGTGAGGTGAACACCCAGATAAAGTCTGACTTATAGTAAAACTCTGCAATTTTACAGTATAATTTCAAGAGTTGCCACAGTATTTTAACATGGAACCACGAATACAACAATTTATCTTCTCTCATCTATATATATATAAATGGACGTGCGTGTGCCTATATTTCATTCTGCAGCCGAAACTACACATCGCATATGAATGGTGTTTATGTGTGGTAGTAGCCCCCAAGTCTCCCATCATGCACTATGGTGGTTGCGTCTCGATAGCTATAAGGATGTGGGAGATATGGGGTTGAAAGTGGTTAACTTCTAAAATATGTAACAATGGAAGTGTCAACAATTTGTTCAAGAAAGTGGTTTGACAACAAATTCTCAAAGAAAGTGGTTGACTTCGAAAATGCCTGACGCTTCAATAAGAATGTTTCTGTTTTTTCTAGAAAGTTCCAAAGCCTAGTAGTGAAATTTGGTACACAGTTAGGGCACGTCATGAAAACGCACACTAAAAGGGATTTTTCGAAATTCCCCCCGCGGGGGAGAGGGAGATCATTAAGGCTTAACTGGGAGAACGGTTTCTACTGTACTATTTTAGATGCGATTTTTTGTTTTCAACTACATTTAGTCTTCATTGAGTACTTAGGTGTATTAAATTGATAACATTTCAGACATTGTTACAAATATTTCTATATATTTCGATTTTTTAACCAAATGTTCGAACCGTTTTAAATTCGAATTTCTTTTTGCATATTGGTTCGATTATAGAACGATTGCAAACTTTCCAGAAAATTTATCAAATTGAAAACAGTTCGTTTGATTCTCAGCAATTCTCATCATTCCAGTGGTAGGTGTTAAATAACAATTACTATGGTTGTTTAAATATTGAATGTAAATAGGGTTTGCTTGCAAAATCTGTGCGAGCGAAGCCGCGGGTAACAGCTAGTAGTACATAAAAATGTTTAATTATTAATATGAATTTTTTTGTTTAATCTACCAATTTTAAATTTTTTAAAATATATTTCAACTTTATTTTTAAATCTGGATTCAGAGTTGGCATGAATTTTTTTGTAAAAACTTTATATATTTATGTATACAGTAGGCCCCGGTTTATGACACGCTTTTGTTCTTGGAGGAGCTGTAAAAAAATAAAACAATTCTAATTATAGACTTTAAGTCGATAAAAACTAATTACTTTTTAAAGTCCCTCTTAAAATTGACATACCGGTAAGTTATTAAATTTAAAGCTCTGAAATGAATGTTGTAAATCTAAAAAAAAAAGTCGTTGTAAAACGAGGTATGTCTAAAATTACTGCATTTGTAAATTTATATTTGTGCAGTTTATTTATACAAGTATTCGTTTTATGGATTTGAAAAAGTAACAAATAAAATTATTTTAATTTTAAAAAATTTGTTTTCATTTTGAGTTGCATTATCAATTCTATGAGTAAAGAGATGAACACATTCGTTTTAAAATATTTTATAAGCTTTATATTGACTATAAATTTTAGTTTTAATTTTTAAAAATTTAAACAAATTGTTTAATAAAGCTAAGAAAATTTTGAGGTTTAATTATTTCATTGATAATGATGCTTAAAAAATAACATTTAGATGTTTAATAACTTTTATAGAAAGGAAACGATTTTCTTCAATTAATGATGGATGCTCAGGAAGGAATACTTGAAAACACTGCCGAAGACTTGAAAGAAGTAGAGAGTGAAATAAGTAATAACAAACTTCAACCCAAACACAAAAGTATTGATTTTTTTTTCATTATCGTATATTCTTGTCAGTAATTTATTTCAATGATATTTTTTATTTATTATGTTTTAGCAATGAGCCTCGACGAAATTGTTGCTCAGAGTATTCTTTTTATTATCGCTGGCCACGACACAACAACAAATGCGTTATCATTTTTTTGTTATGAAATGGCATTAAATCCAGAATGCCAAGAGAAGTTGTTGAAGGAAATCGATGAAACATGGGAAACACATGTAAATAAACGTTTTCCTTATACTTTTTAAATATATAATTTATACTATGATGGTTACCTTCCAGAATTAAGCAAATTAATTCATTTATTTCTAATTATTAAATTTAATAAAAGATGGTAGTTTAACGGACTACCTTTAGTCAAAATTAAATTAATATGCTTATAATTAATTAGCCATATTATAGCCCGATTAAAATCCTTAGATATCGTTTCTTTGTTTGTATTTTCTTTATTCAGTTCTAATATAAAATTACTTATTCAACGACACACAAAAAGTATTTATCCGTTTTTATAGCTACATATCTAAATTCAACAATAAATTTTAAATTTAGTAAAAATTCTATGGTCCGATAAATAAACTAAGATACTCAATTTCAATCAATTAAATATCGGATAGATGAATTTATTAAAATTTTCAAATAAAACTAATTGAATCTAGTTTTTTCTTAATCTTTGTTGATGAAGCCGGTTATAATGCAGGCTACTTTTGTACTATTCTTTTATGCTATTACTTATACAATACAAATTAAAATGCGACGATTTATATCGCAATAACCTATAGTCAATACAGTGTATGAGAATTATCAGAAATTTGATATTTCTATTATTTTATGTTAAATTTACTATCATTGATGTTACTATTACTAAGTAGAAACATGATAAACTTTTGAAACAGTTCTATCGTAGACTTTAATATGTTTCACGTAAATAATCGATTATATATCACTTTATGTTAATATGTAACCTTAATATCTTACAAGTGACAAAATAACAGTACGCACATCCCATGTGAAATTGTCATAAATGGTAATAAAAGCAGAATCGTTTGCAATTTGTAACAAAAACTTTTTAAACAAAGCACACCACTTGAACTATGCTTCAAACAAAAATCCGTACATACATTGTAACAGGAAAAGTATGATGTACAGGGGAAGACACTAATAAAATGCATTGTGCAACGAGATCTAAACACTTTTATCCGGGTATCGTGACCATGTTATAATAATTACTCATTTAACATTCAGTTGTAAGGAAAATAACTAACATTGTATTTTAATATATTCATGTTATATATTCTACTTAAAAGAAATGCTAGAATATCTCTAACATGGCTTCTTCGTGTTTATGTAAACATATAAAATTTAGTTTCATAAAAAATTTTTAGCACCTCTATCATTTCTTTTCACACATTTGTGATATATATTATTTATTAATAAATTTAAATTATTTTTATGAGTAAGTAAATAACAATAACAATGAGTAAGTAAATAACAATTGCATATTAAAATATTTATATTGTCCAAAATACCATGTAAACAATTAAAATTATTAACAAATATATAAACTTTCATTGCCATAGATTATAGTCCTACTTGTGTGTAACGTGTAATTGCTCCTTGACATTTTTGTATTTTCCTAAATTATGAATTATTTCAACAAAAATTTTTATTGATTTTTTTAAAATTTTGTGCAAAATTTAAATTAAAGTACAGTACAATATTTAGGGTGATGTGGATTTTGATATTGTCAATAAAATGACTTATCTTGATGCAGCATTAAATGAAACATTACGAGTACATAATCCAGGAGTAATGTAAGTGAATTTTTTATTATACAATATTACTTATAAAGAATAAATATAGAGCAGTCTAATTATAATTATCTTAATTTAAATTAATCTATTTTTTAGGTTGGCAAGAATGGCCTCTGAAGATTATAAATTAGCTGATACGGGTATAACAATAAAAAAAGGAACAAACATTGTAATTCCGACATACGGCATGCATCACGATCCCGAATATTTTCCAGAACCAGAAAGATTTAAACCCGAAAGGTAAATATTATTTTAAAAATCAAAATTTAATTTAAATTTCAGGCAGAAAATTTCAAGTATGAATTATCACTTACAGATTTTTACCCGAAAATAAAGAATCCATTATACCATATACATTTTTGCCCTTTGGCGACGGTCCTCGTAACTGTATTGGAATGAGATTTGTCACTATGGTAATGAAAATTTGCTTAGTTTACATGCTACGTGATGTTAAACTAGTTGCCACGGAAGAAACACGGGTAAATATATAATTTTGTGATAAATTATAATAATTTTGATAGACATGCAATTTATTAGAATAAATATGTTTCCTGTACGAGACCATTTTATTTTATTACAGCAAAATGTAAAATAATAAAATGAGTGTAAAATTAGTTGTTATTATCCATTAACAAAGAGTTCATGTTTTTAACTCTATATTTTCGTTTAAACTTAGAAATATCTCATTTGCAATAATGAAATATGTAACTTGGAGCAAAAAATACAAAACCTGATTAAATACATTTTTATAAAGATTGATATTTTAACTTCTGATATGTATGAACATAAAAACTCGATTTGAACGACAATTAATTCATTCTATTAAAATAGAAAAATACTTCATTACACTTAAAATGTGTTTATAAATGCATGTGAAATGAAGTTCTATCCAAAATACTACTTATAGAATTAAACTGAAAAATCTGTCGAATTGAAATGTGTGTAATAGCCCAGCATTCAGCATAAAGTGTAATTTTATTTAAAAATATATATATATATAAAGGGCATTACTAAGGCTTGCGCTGTTTTCACCTTTATGGATTTAGGTGGCTAAATTCTTTAAGGGAATAGGCTAAATTGGTACTGATAGGTTAGTGTAGTAAACTTTTGCTGCCAAAATTAAATTCTGTTGAGTTTAAATTAAAGGCTACGTGTAGCAAAATTTAATTATATTGAATTTAATTTTTAAGCTAAGATTTTTAAGCTTGTAACAAGCTCCGCTAGGAGGCGCGAAAATTCGAATAATTCTTGTTTTGGTTACTTTACATAGCCCTTACACAGTTGTATCATGTAGTTTTTATTTGATAAAATCAGAAAAGGCATTCCGAGATATCCAGGAAAAATCGAGAAAGTTTTTGGGTCCACCAATGGCCGAGTGGATAAAACCACTGATCACTGAAGTTGGTCGTGGATTCGCACCTCGCCAATGGGCTAGCCATCTAAAGTTTTCCGGGTGTTCACGTTAGTAACACATTTCTCTTAAAAGATCTCCCAGGTGGCATCCCCTTGGCAGATCGCCCACCTGTCGCGTTGCCAACCAAATAAATATACCGCAGCGCGTACGAGTTCAAAGCCAAAATTGATTGTGGGATAGTTTGCGGATTTAAATGGTAACACCATAAGCTGTAGTAATGTCCTTTTATCTGTACATAAAATTAATGAACGCAAAATAATATCAATAAGAAATTTTCAGAATTTTTATAATTATTTGTCATGGACTATGTTGTGCTTATCAGAGAATATGTGAGTGTAGGATTCCCTATAGGATCTAGGAATAGAATTTAAATTAAGAAAATTTGGAAAACTTGAATTCTACTATAAGTTGGAATTATAATAATTTTGTTACTTATAAATAAACGGTACTTTATTTTCTTTAGAAAATTACGCTTAATTTTTCTTCATCCTATTTTAGATCATCTCAAAACACTTCCACGACAAAATCTTAGTTACGCCACTCATCATAAAAATGATATAATTAATATAAAAAAGTACATTTCTGTTTAAGGTTGATAACCTTTCTAAAATTGTAATTTTTTAGTTCTTAAGAAAAACATAAACTTTTAAACGCTAGTAGAGATGGAGAATTAAGCTTATTATTGTAATTTTTTAGTTTTTATTGTATTTATAAACAGTAGTATCTTTCATATGTTAGTTTATTGTAAAAAAAAATATTTTTTATTTTATGATTCAAATCAACTTGGAACCATTCGTTTCTTACAAATTTAATTATATTAAATCTGTATAGAACATTTTAGATCTGTATCTTAAAATCCTTCAGAAATTGTAAAACTCAAAGTCTAAGTATAGTCGGCAGAATTTTGGCAAATTTTCTCTAAATTTGACAAATTTGATTATTTCGGAAACATGATTCTTACCAATTAAGTTATTACAGACAAATTTTTAATCCATTAGAAAAAAAATTTCATACAGGATAAAGAGAAATAAATAATCCTTTATTTAAGTATTATTGTTACAATTGTCCTTATTTGTATTGAGGTAACATCTAATATAAAATTTTCTTTTCTTTTTGCAGAAACCGTTAAAATATTATTTTGGACAAAATTTACAAGTCAAGGACATAATTTTGAAAGCTGAAAAGAGAACTCGATTTCACTAATTTTATTGAAAAATTCTTACAAATAAGAGTCTGAGAAATAGTAACTTGTATTTTTCTATATTGAAATTTAATAAATTAAATGGCAAATAATTTTTCTGCTTTAAAAACTGCGGACTCTCCTTAGCATTAATTAACTGCATCACCAATTTGCCCTCCTGGTAGAAATCAAATATTTTAATGTACACCTAATTCTACTTAAAGGAAACTCAGGTAACGGTTACCGTCAATCTTTTTTCTAGTCAGACGTATACACATATTGTATTGATACATATCGTTTGTCAATGTCTCTTCCACTTACTTGTTAAAAGCAAAATAACTTCTGAAAGCAAAAGCATTTCAGAAGTTTCCGGATTAACCCTTTTTCTCAAGAACGACAAACATAAATGAAATCTACTATACTCCCTGCAAAAATAAACAGCAACGCCACGCATAAAAAACAAAACCATGTTTATCCTTACACCCCAATCAGCTAATTTATGCCGAGCTATTTTTGTTTTTGTATACCATAGCATACCACCCTAGCAGAATTGATTATCCAAAGCTGTTGTCTTTTAATGAAAACTAAGCTAAACATAGCAATGTGTATCGGATTATTTTTGTTATTCACACAACCACTTAAAAGGGTTTTTTTGACAATGCTCCTGCAATGTCCTAACCCCGACAGTTAACAGAGACCATGGATCACTCAGAAGATGATTAACAAATTTTTTATTATTATTTGCATTTCGGGTCGGTAACCTCCCGAACACTTTTTAGTCTACCGGAATATTAAAATCCTATTTAAAAGTTACAATCCTTAATTTTAAAAAATTACAAATTACAAATAAAAAAATCTACGAATAAATTTAATCCATGTTGTGAATCTATTTCACGTACAGTACATTGTGAAGCACGCTGTGCCCAGTGGTGGACGTTATGGCAGTTACACATTTCATTTCGAGAGAAAATGCTCAAACAGTTGTAGTTTGTTCTAGCATTAATTTAACACCATGTTGCACCAGTCATATCGTTGTCCGTCATCTGCATGTCGTACCAGTTGCAAATAACAGATGATTAAGTGTACGTAATGGCAACGTAAAATTCTGTGATTGCTACAGTCTATGTTGCCTCGCTGCTTCATGTATTCTCGAAGGTATGTGGATATGCGTGAAAGTACGGTAAACTTCGTCGTAAAGACAAGGGCGACTTGAACCGTGATCTATAAATGTGCTAAAAGTTTGCACATATATATGGGTAAGTTTTAATACAGTTGTAAAGCTTAATGCTCTTTACTATATGTATTTTCTTGGCATAATGTTCCCGTTGAGAACAAATCACACAGAAACACTTTCATTGGAAAATGTTTCGTTTATTGGTGCTCTTATTTATTTCGTCTGGTTTTCCCTCCGGACCGCGTTACAGCGCTCCGGAACTCCTTTCGTTGTCATCGTCGGTGTGTATAAAGTCTTGTCCGTGTTTTGACCCACCTCTGTCCCTCCGGACCGCGTTACAGCGCTCCGGAACTCCTTTCGTTGTCATCG